ATTCAGTTCGGTTTTTAACACAAAGCCGAATTTATGAGGCTACTTGTATCTTCTCACTTTTAGATTATTTTTCACCCCTAATATAAACAATATATATTCAATTATATGCATCATCAATGATAAAATCAAACATTTCAACACATAAGTCATAAAATATTTCAAATATTTAAGTATAAAAACAACTACAAACATAAAAATCCACCATTTGGAGGTTGCAATTATAGTATTTCGGTTTTTCGGTAGGAATTCGGAATTTTGGTTCGATCGAAATATCCATATTTTCCTTCCGAATTCCGAACAGAATAGCATTATTTCGGTTTCGGTTTGGTTTAATTAGGTTTCGATTTCGGTTCGGGTCGGGTTTATCGAACCGTTTGCCCACCCCTATCATACAGTGCATGGTGGAACTTGTACAAAGACACCAAGTGGAGAATGGATCTTTTAAGAATTGTACCTTTAATGAACTCGAGAGTATGATGGAAGAGAGGGCTCTTGGATGCGGAGTGAAGGTTGAACCAACCATTCGTTCTAGACACAAGCAGCTGAAGAAGGAATTTCATGCAGTCAATGCAGTCAAAATCGGGATTTTGATCGTAAAATCGTAGGATTTTACCTAGGGATTCCGATCCTGATTTTACTATAAAATCGGTGGACCTTAAAATCTTTCAAAATCGGGATTAAAATCGTTAAAATCCTACCAAAATCGGGATTTTGATCCTATGTGAACAAAATAGGCAGTTTGAGACAATTCAAAAGAAGCGGAACTGTTTCGGTGGAAAGGGCAATGACGGCTATCTTCTCATATATTTTTCCTATTAAAAGAACATTTGAAAAGAGAAAAAAAAACCTAATTAGAGTTCAGTCAATCCCTTTCTCTTCTCCTTGTTTAACTAATCGGTAAAATAGTTGTCATAATATTGTAAGTACGAAAGAATTAACATCATCATTAACAAATTAATTGATTAATGAATATATTTGTACCAAATGACATTAAAATTCTTATTGGAGTTCACTTATTCTTAGTTTTAAATCATGCTTAATAGACGATGTCAGAATACTACTTTGAGTTCAACTACATAAACACAACATTAAAAACAAGAGCAAACCCCATGAGCTCTATCCCTTCCTCATAAATTACTTTGAGTTACACACTAAATAACAATTAAAAGGATGATTTTGGAACATTAATCTTGAAAATTATCACTTTAAATGTTATATGTCTTTGTGTTATTAATTATTTACCTTATTAATATTATTATATGTTAATTTATATGTGGTACTTAAAATCCTACAATATTACGATTCCGATTTTACCCCAGTATTCGATTTAGGTAAAATCCCGATTTTAACTGCTTTGCATGCAGTATTCTTGCTGCGTAATCAGAGCGGTTGTGGTTGGGATGAAGTAACTAAGACTCCAACTTTAGACGATGATGTGTTTGAAGCATTTATTAAGGTATATTTGATAGAATATTAGCTGTTGGTTCTGGAATATGATGGATCTTGACTGTACACTGAATGTTCCTTTTATTTGCAGGTGCATCCTAATTGTAAGAATATGAACAAGAAGCCTTTCCTGTTCTATGATGATTTGCTAAAGGTCTTTGGAAAGTTTGGTCTTGCAAATGGAAGGAAGACACAAGGTTTGACTGATGTCGTTTACTCGCCTGTGATAGATGGACCTAACTTCGTGAATTTGGAAGGAATTCAGTCACAATTCGATGCAGGAGGACCAAGTGGAGAGGGGTTCATGGAGGATATGATCAATGAAGGGATCACGATGTCCTAGAGAGCAACTGAGTGCCTTGTGTCATAAGCAGCTACTCAACTAGCACAAGGGGGTAGCGACTCTGTTGTGAAGAAAAGGGTTAAAAAGGTAGAGAATAAGTCTGATAATGCACTTGCTGCTATAGCTGAGGAGTTGTTTGGATAAAAGCCCGTTATTTCCAGGGCACTGGATGCTCTAGGCACAATTTTAAGTGAACATGAGGAAGATGAAGGTAAGAAGCTGCATTGATGTCAGCGATTGGGAAAATTGAAGGTTTGGATCGATGTCAAGTCCTTGATGCTGCTATGGCTTTAGTTGAAAATGAACATAAGATAAGACTGTTTCTTGCTCTCGATAATGAAGAGGATCAGAAGTACTTCATCCATAACTTGCTACGTTGAATGTGAATTGTGAAGGTTGTATGTATGTAAAATGCAGGTTGTATGTATGTATGTAATGTTATCATTTTGTCCAGAACACATGCAGTATGGCTAGGAAACTCGCATATTTTGTGCAATGCTAACATATGAGTTAGTCTGCAAGGTCGTGAGTAGGAAGTTGAAGCATGTTGTTTTTGAAAGTTTCTTAGCCATTCCAACATGTGTGGACTTGTACTGTTATTAGTATAAAAACAATGTAATGTGCCTTGAACGGAAAGTGGTCAACTTCCGCAAAAAAGGGCATGCAACCGCTGTTGAAAGTTGAGGATTGAATTCCATGGAATGAGACTCATCTTTACTCTTTGTTTAGGCTTTAGTCACAATCTTCATTGCCCTAAGGCCTCGTTTGTTTGATGGTTTTGAAAAATGAAGATTTTGATTAAAACCTGGCTTTTACAAAACCATAGATTGATGATGGAATTGGTCCATTATGGATTTGAACCAAACCATTGTTTGCTTATTGAATTTCACGATGGATTTTGTTGAATTATATGTGTAGGTATAAAATACAATTTATCTTATTGCCCTTACTTTTAATTATTTGTCTATAAGTGAACCACTTCCATGAAAGTCATGAACATTCAAACTACTTATATATATATATATATATCAGGCTAGCGTACACCTGGTGTACGGTGTACACCTGTGTTCACACCTATTAATTATTTAATTAATAATAATTATAATTGCAACTACACCTATTAATTTATTTTGTACTACTATGTAGCCCTACATGTTTTTTTACTGTCCTTCTACTGGAATGAATCATATATGTTTCAATTAAACAATTATGATACAAGATTTCCTCTAATCATGATTTATAACACCCAATTTCTTATGAAAAGAACAATTATCATTTTAGAATTTACATCCAAATTCATTCCATTCTTTCTTTCATAATACACGTGCCCGTCATCCTCATTAGAAATCAGGAACACTTCAATTACTCCATCCCCTTCCTCCTCCTTGGAACAGTCGTGGATTTCCCCCAATCTCCTCTCTCCTTACCCAAATCATGTCTACTTCCTAATCCAAATTAGGCTGACTTATCTCTCTGTATTCTAGGTTTTGTGAGCTTGATTTCTCGCGGGAAGGAAGCGATGCAAGGGAGGAGACGCAGTGGATAACTGGAGTTGCGGGTCGTGCTAGGGCGGCCGGCGAGTGGGGTAAGAAGTTTCATCGCGTGCGTAGTGTTTGGCTTCCACCGTCTTCTATTTTAAGATTTGATTTTGTTTCGTTTATCATGGCTGAAGGCGGGGAGTGACAACCCAATTAGATGTTGCTTTTAGTCTTGAATAATGCATGCTATCTCACCTCAACCAGCACTACAACAGCACAGAGCCGCAACACCACCGGCACGGGGCCCCCATCGGAAACTAGCCAAATCTATCTTCAATCTAGAGTTTCTCAGCTCGATCTCTGGCGACAAGGAGGCCCAGCAAGGGTAGGAAACGCTGCGAAGGAGCATTGAGTATGACGAGAGTTGCAGGTTAGTGTTTGCCATCCATTTTTTTCTCGTATGAAGCTTTGAATTAGGGGGTTTTATTATGTGAATTCGAATTTTGCTTTTTCTAATTCTTGAGCATCTGTAATGCTTGGCCAGATAGCATGGATATCACAAAACTCTTCAGAGGGAGCATAAAAAATGTGCAATTGAAGGTGAGCTCAGTGTCCTGGATTCGTGTATGTTTGGTTACCATTTTGTATAGTGTAATGTGAAGCTTTAGATGTGGGCGTAGTGCTCTTTTAGGTACTTATTGATTTCATTGTTTTGTTTCTTTTCCCATTCCGGCTTGGGTCTGAAATTGCTTCTCGACATACTAGTTAGGTTATTTCGATATTAAGATGAGTTGTATGGTGTGTTATTTTGTGTTCTGTTTCAGCTCTCCTTCTCTTGAAATGGCTAGTCATGCTTTAGGTCTATGTGTTTTTCATTCTCTCTAGTTGGAATAGAGTGAGAGTTGGCTTATTTTTGAAGGTAGAAGAAAATTGAAGTCTGATGGAAGTGAGTTGGTATGTTTCTTGATATCTTTAGCTTATATTTGTTGGTACTCATGAGTCTTATCTCAGTCCTCATTAAGTATAATGATCAAGTTTGTAACAGGAGAGTGCATGATCAACAATTAATCATTTTCACTAGCTTATTAGTAATGCTTGGCTTCCTCTATTATTTCAAAACTTTTAGTTTTTAGTTTATTATTTCTTGCCTCAGTTTGCTTCTAATTACTAGTTAGCTTCTTCTATTTGTTTTAGTCAAAACATGTTGGAGCTGCTTCACAAGGTTTAATACTCGAGCGAAACTGCAAAATCCATGTACTTCAGCTCTTCTAGCCAAATCCTTTGCCTGAAACTGAAACCCATGAATGGACCTTGCGTCCTCAGCAGAAGAGATCTTCTGTCTCTCAAGGTTTGGTTCACAACTGGATCCTTCGTTCGAACGGTTTCCTGGTCCCTGTCTTGTAAGTGTGTTTATTTTACTTCTTATGCAGGGGAGAAGAGTCGAACTGTGATGGTTCCCATGTCCTTGGTTCAGTCATTCCCACCTGCACATGAAATATCGCAAGGAAAAGTGAGGAACAAGGTCCCTAATATACTAGGACAAACCACTAGTATTGACCACGACAAGATTCGACCTGCCTTTTCCCCTGGTTTTCCCTATTCAAGGAGTAATGGACAAGATTTGCAGATGCGTGAGACTGGCAAGGAGGTAAGTGCCAATCAATCTGTAAATGAGCCATTCGATCAGATATCCCGCAAGAAGTTTATTCGATCTCGTCGAATACAAAGGCAAAATTTCATCCTCGGACAGGTTAGTTATTACTTGGTTTTGTTCTTGATGTTCATAAATCATCGAAACTACTGAGGTGATGCTTGGATGTTTGAGGGCAACGACGCATACGTTTTCACCGTATTTGGGTTAGGAGCTTTAGAGGAGGCTTGTCTGGTGCCATTACTGTTCGAACTCTTTAAAAAGTAAGCTAGATATTTGTATGCATAATAAATATATTGTCGTGAATGCAAACTGGTTTCTTAGTTGCATATAGAAAGCTTAATCTGTATAAGGAAACTGGTTTTTAAATTGCAAAATAATAATAAAGCTTATTTATTAGAATAATTGGTATATGGAAACTGGTTTATTAGTTGCTGAATAATAAGAAAGCCTATTATTACTTATTAGGCTAAGCGCTGGATTTGGTTAATAGAAACGGAGGTGTCTTTAAATGGTCCATACCCTATTGTTTTGTCTTCTATATAATTGTGCGTTGTGCTCCCTTTATTTGTCGTGCTTTGATGCTGCATTCTCTCTCTTAGGTAGTATTCTGTTTACTTTTGAAATTTCTTGTTGTTTGTTGTGATTCTCATCTTCATTATGTCCCGTCTCTGTGTATGCAGTTGCTGCTTTTATTCGGATTCTTTCTTGCGGGAGTGAAGATCATGGATCGAACTGGGTAATATGCATCATCTCTTTCAAACGTTTTTAGTCATCATCTCTTTTTTTATTGTATGTTTTTCGTCTCCTATTACTTATGACACCTTTTTCTTTGGCCATTTAAATTAGGGATAAGGGCTATCAAAGCTTTCTGATGGATGCTGCCAATATATCAGGACCCAAGAGTAGCATTACTGGATCTTCTTCAAAGGCTGGGGTTTGTGGTCACATTTTTTTATTTGTAATTATTATATGTAAAGCTGTCCAGATTGTCCCCGCATATTTTTCTTCGTTTGAGCTTTGTTAGGCGATAATTTATTATGGGTTCTGTTGGGCTGTAATTTTTTTGGTGAAAACTTTTGGGTTTTGTTCTGACCTTGCAGCAAGAACATAGATTGCAATGAGTTCTTATATACAATTAATCACATTTCTTTATTAGACATTGTTTTTAGCTTTATATAATTAATTAATTGCAACGAATGCAATGAACTTATTGACTATTTCAACATTTTTTGTTGTCGACAGTATCAATACGAAAGAAGTTTTTTTTGGGAGAAATGGCTAAGTCTCCTGTGACACTGGGCACAGATGTCATTGTTATTGATGACGATGATGATGATTTTTTGGGAGAAACCGTTAAGTCTCCTATGACACCGAGTTCTGATGTCATTGTTATTGACGATGATGATGACGAGCCTTATTTTGAAAGCAAAAAGAGAATTAAATCTTTCTCGACCTCTACCAAGGAAAAGGTATTTTTTGTTACTAGAATAGTTTTGTATACTATTAATAAGTATAGAAAACTCTCTAATATTTTAGTTTTGCATGACAATCATTTTTGTACTCGTCTGTCGCTATGGAGCTTGTTGCCTAAGAGATGGGTACAAGATGATGTAAGTGTTGGTTTTATTTACAAAATTTTCACATTATTCATTTTTAAATAGTCACATTGTTTGTTGTTGTGTTGAAGGTTATAACAAGTTGTGCATATTATCTCAACCTATCTGAGATGTATGAAGAACGACGTGGAAACCCGTTTCGGTTGTGCTTCCTCCCTACCCAAATGCAGGTAATGATAATATGGGATACTAACACTCACATTTTTGTGAATATTACAAACATGCACTAATTTTTGTTTCAATATGATCCAATAGGTGGAGTGGAGAAGTATGGTTATAGTCCTCAAAAGTTATTAAATAATTATCGTTCTAGCTTCTTACGTAATGCCTATGGATCCAAGAAGGTAGACATTTAATGAATATCTCATTCCTATATTTTTTTGTATAATTTGTTTAAGGATGATGATCTTCATGTTGATCTTTGGCAGGTCTATCTACCATTGAATGATGACACTCATTGGTATTTGGCAGTGATATTGATAGAATCAAAACAAGTACATCTGGTTGACTCAACACCTATGACAGACCGCAATGGAAATCGTATGAAAGTTGTAGGACGCATGGTTAGTATACTGTTGAACATTTTCCATGAGTTTGTTTCATAATCAAATTTATTTTAGTTAAGTACATTTCATTATTTATGAAGATGGCGTTTTTACATGATGTATTTCAAAAGCTATACTCTGAGCTAGAGAAGATGAATGAAGCGCAAAACATCCGCAATTTTCAGTTGATCATTCCTGATAAGGTTCCTATACAAGAAAACTGGTAAATGATATGGATATTGTCTAATATTATTTTAAAGCATTTGATTATTAATAAACTTACAGAATAGCTATTTATATTAGATTTGATTGTGGCATGTGGGTTTGCTTATGGATGATGTACTCAGATGCCATGAATGGATATTGTGTTGGGGTAAGGAAGCATACACTTAATTTTTATTAGTTCAATCACAATAGGATCTCATGCTATTCTTCTTTGTATTGTTTAATCATAATAGGATCTCATGCTATTCTTCTTTAATACAAAGAAGAAATAGGATCTCATGCTATTCTTCTTTAATACAAAGAAGAATAGCATGAGATCCTATTGTGTAAATTTTTTTTTGTTAATACAAAGAAGAATAGCATGAGATCCTATTGTTATTGAACTAATAAAAATTAAGTGTATGCTTCCTTACCCCAACACAATATCCATTCATGGCATCTGAGTACATCATTCATAAGCAAACCCACATGCCACAATCAAATCTAATACAAATAGCTATTCTGTAAGTTTATTAATAATCAAATGCTTTAAAATAATCTTAGACAATATCCATATCATTTACCCATTTTCTTGTATAGGAACCTTATCAGGAATGATCAACTGAAAATTGTTGATGTTTGGCGCTTCATTCATCTTCTCTAGCTCAGAGTATAGCTTTTGAAATACATCATGTAAAAATGCCATTTGCATAAATAATGAAATGTACTTAACTAAAATAAATTTGATTACGAAACAAACTCATGGCAAATGTTCAACAGTGTACTAACCATGCGTCCTACAACTTTCGTACGATTTCCATTGCGGTCTATCAAAGGTGCTGAGTCAACCAGATGTACTTGTTTTGATTCTATCAATACCACTGCCAAAGACCAATGAGTGCCATCATTCAATGGTAGATAGACCTGCCAAAGATCAACATGAAAATCATCATCCTTAAACAAATTATACAAAAAAATATAGGAATGAGATATTCGTTAAATGTCTACCTTCTTGGATCCATAGGCATTACGCAAGAAGCTAGAACGATAATTATTTAATAACTTTTGAGGACTATAACCATACTTCTCCACTCCCACCTATTTGATCATATTGAAACAAAAATTAGTGCATGTTTGTAATATTCACAAAAATGTGAGTGTTAGTGTTCCATATTATCATTACCTGCATTTGGGTAGGGAGGAAGCACAACCGAAATGGGGTTCCACGTCGTTCTTCATACATATCAGATAGGTTGAGATAATATGCACAACTTGTTATAACCTTCAACACAACAACAAACAATGTGACTATTTATAAATGAATAATGTGAAAGTTTTGTAAATAAAACCAACACTTACATCTTGTACCCATCTGTTATGCAACAAGCTCCACAGTGACAGACGAGTACAAAAATGGGAACCATTTTTTACCAATATATTTCGACCATCAAGATCTTTTGCAAAGATATAGTATGCCAGATCAACCTCTTCTAAAGTTAATTTCATGTACTTGGTGATAGGAAATTGCATCACAAACTCCGATGCAAAACTAAAATATTAGAGAGTTTCCTATACATATTAATAGTATACAAAACTATTCTAGTAACAAAAAATACATTTTCCTTGGTAGAGGTCGAGAAAGATTTAATTCTCTTTTTGCTTTCAAAATAAGGCTCGTCATCATCATCATCATCGTCAATAACAATGACATCAGAACTCGGTGTCATAGGAGACTTAACGGTTCTTCCCAACAAATCATCATCATTGTCATCAATAAAAATGACATCTGTGCTCGGTGTCACAGGAGACTTAGCCATTTCTCCCAAAAAAAGCTTCTTTCGTATAGGGTTGGTAGAACAATACTGTCGACAACAAAAAATGTTGAAATAGTCAATAAGTTCATTGCATTCGTTGCAATTAATTAATTATATAAAGCTAAAAACAATGTCTAGTAAAGTAATGTGAATAATTGTATATGAGAACTCATTGCAATATGTGTTCTTGCTGCAAGGTCAGAACAAAACCCAAAAGTTTTCACCAAAAAAAGTACAGCCCAACAGAACCCATAATAAATTACCGCCCAACAGAGCCCAAATGAAGAAAAATATACGGGGACAATCTGGACAGGTTTACATATAATAATTACAAATAAAAAATGTGACCACCAACCCCAGCCTTTGAAGAAGATCCAGTAATGCTACTCTTGGGTCCTGATATATTGGCAGCATCCATCAGAAAGCTTTGATAGCCCTTATCCCTAATTTAAATGGCCAAAGAAAAAGATGTCATAAGTAATAGGAGACGAAAAACATACAATAAAAAAAGAGATGATGACTAAAAACGTTTGAAAGAGATGATGCATATTACCCAGTTCGATCCATGATCTTCACTTCCGCAAGAAAGAATCCGAATAAAAGCAGCAACTGCATACACAGAGATGGGACATAATGAAGATGAGAATCACAACAAACAACAAGAAATTTCAAAAGTAAACAGGATACTACCTAAGAGAGAGAATGCAGCACCAAAGCACGACAAATAAAGGGAGCACAACACACAATTATATAGAAGACAAAACAATAGGTATGGACCATTTAAAGACACCTCCGGTTCTATTAACCAAATCCAGCGCTTAGCCTAATAAGTAATAATAGGCTTTCTTATTATTCAGCAACTAATAAACCAGTTTCCATATACCAATTAGTCTAATAAATAAGATTTATTATTATTTTGCAATTTAAAGACCAGTTTCCTTATACAAATTAAGCTTTCTATATGCAACTAAGAAACCAGTTTGCATTCACGGGAATATAGTTATTATGCATACAAATATCTAGCCAAAATCAGAAGAAGGGCCAATAAGATTGCTTGTCTGAAGGATGAGCATGGGGAATGGGTGACGGACAGGCAACAGTTGGCTTCCATGGTCTTCCAGTTTTACTCTGAGCTGTATCTCCAGGATGGAGCTACCTATAGTGACTTGATGCCTCGAGGAACCTTCCCTCACCTCAGCCTTGAGGAGACTAACCAGCTTCTCTGGCGTTTCACTATTCAGGATGTCCATCGGGCGGTTTTCGATATGAAACCCTTTCAGGCCCCTGGCCCGGATGGGTTTCAAGCTATCTTCTACCAACACACTTGGAAGACTGTGGGGAAATCTCTAACTGACAGGGCCATCTCTTTCTTTGAGGAAGGCGAGCTTCCAGAGGAGGTTTTTGCCTCTACGGTGGTGCTCATCCCCAAAGTAGAAAATCCCGAGACTGTTGGACAACTCTGGCCGATCTCCCATAACAACGTCAGTCTCAAGGCCATCACCAAAGTCATGACTAGCAGACTGAAGACGGTTATGTTATCAGGCGTCGAGCGCGAGATGCCTCCTTCCTTCCGATCCTCTGAACTCCCCTGAAACCCTAACTCTTCCTTCTGCTAAGAACAAGAGCGATCAAGAGAAAAATGATACCAAAGGGAAAATAGAAATGAAAGCTAAACACGAAAAGAAGAAAGAACTGATCTGCTTGTTGAGGTTGGGCTTGAACACTTGAGCCCAAGTTATTTAAGTTTCTCGGTTTGGCCTGTTGAAAGTGATTGATTCACTTTAGCTAAATGGAGCGTTTTAACTCCACGCGACTTGAACTGAATCCTCCCTTAGGCAGATTCACTTCCCCTGCTTTCCCAAACTCGAACCCAGCTAGGAACGAGATTAAGTGTGAACTGTTGTTGAGCTTCAAAGCTAAAATGACACAGGGACTTTTACGTGGTTTCCAGAGCTGAGTGAAAATGGAACTCAGCTCTGACTACTCCACGGACGAGAGATCACTGATTTGTGATTCTCGCCAATTCACTAAGAGATTTTCTTGACTACTCCGAACCTTGTACAATTCACCAACCTCACTCGGAAGGTGACTCTCACTCACAGAACTACTCACACACTCAGCTATCCAGCTACTATGTCCTCCGACACACCCTCTTACAACATTCTGCTATCACTTCGATTCCCTAAATGATTCAGCAACTCATCCACGTCAAACAAAATTCTCTCTTCATGAAGAGCTCCCGCTAATGGATCTTCTTCAGCAGTCCCAACTAGACATCCTC